GGTCGCATACACAATAGTTGTCTCGTGTGGCAATCGAACCCGTGACCCCCAGCGCCGAAACCAATACCGTGGCAACTGCGCCACGGAGTCATCACTCTCGTAATCAGATAACTTTTCGAAGACGGATGGTAAAAATTATGAATTTCTGGCGACACGTTTAGCGTTTGTCGCTTTACCCGGTTTTGATACGGTGATGTTTCACGTGATGATATTTTAAGTTTTTCAATAGGCAAAGCAATGTGTTGCAATGGTTACTGCATCGTAACAATCCGTAAATTTTTAGGAATTGACAATTTAATTATAATAAATATCGAACCGAATAAAAAATTTCCGGTCATGGCATTACCACGAGAAAATCCGGCGTAGCGCTAATACCGAGCCGACGAGTGGCTTACAAGCCGATATCTCGGGATTACAAGCACGCCGCCGCCCCCGGGGCGTTTTAAACTTTTCATCCGTCAGATAAGCCCATATCAACATGGGGTTCGCGATGCGTTATCTAAACGGAGGAGCGAAACGGTGGGGAAGACGTAACGCGTTACGCGTAACCGTAACGAAGTAGCGGGCGATTTCAATTTTGCTTTATCGTTTTTATTAGCTTCCTAAATTCCCGAAAAATCGAATTAAACGCGATAAAATCCGTAAAATAGTTTTATTTCACAATGTATAGTATTCGCGTAAAATCAAGAAGTCTAATAAGCCTATATATGTCCCACAGCTGGGCAAAGGCCTGGTCTGTACTGTACCCTCTTATTAGGTCATAGTCAACCACGCGGCCCCATTGTGGATTGGCGGAGTTCACATGTCTTTGAAATATTTTTTTGATAAAACATGCAAGTTTCCTCACGATGATTTCCTCCACGGCTGAACACGTAATAAGTTAGCAATAAGAAATTAACAACTTCATTGCTGCGGACAACAGAGATTGAACTCGGGTTGCTCTTGTATATTTAATTAAAATTGAGGAATCGGACGATTGTTTGGAGTTGGATACGATTCCTTATTGTTATCCCTCAATGACAGTACAGAAACCAAATGCTTTCATCAATATCACTGCTAAAGGCAAAGGCAAAAGCATTTTCTTTAACTCCATCTTGTTTTAAGCACTTGTAAATATCAAACATACAGTTGCTGTTCATAAATTTGGAGTTTGGATAACAGAAAGAGTCAATCATTACTTTCTTATTACTGTTATTACTTAACGAAGTATAAAATTACCGGGAGCCACGGGATATGTTATTTTAAAGTATGAATTACTCCAAGTATGTCATTTTACCCGACTGGCAAAAGAGGGCACACACGTATTTCTAATTCTTTGGCACACTACTACATGGTGAATCTTTCAGCGGATGTCATTAGGTTCATCTCAGTTGTGAGAGTGACGTAGTGTATATATTACTTTAATCAGGATAGCTTGCTGTATTTTTTTAAACATTGCCCATACTTTAGATTAACATTATCCTGTGTTCTAAGGACGTTGTATAAACATAAATTTCACGTGGACGAAGTCTCAGGTGCGTGGGTCGCACAAATAGTTGTCCCGTGTGGGAATCGAACCCACGACCCCCGACGCCGAAGCCAATACCTTGGCAACTGCGCCACAGAGTTATCAAATTAAACATTGTTAGACTTTCTAAAATTAAGTACGCACAATTTTTTTCTTTAACTATCTCTATTTAGATTTTACACTTTTGTACGTTATGTACCGTATAAATTTTCGACATATTAAGAAAAGCAAACAATGAAAAATTTTAATAAAATCCTACTTTAAATCCTAAACATCCATACATTTTGCTCAGTAGTGGAATACCTACGGTATTACTATTCTTTTACATCAATATATGTAAAAATTAGTAAATGCAATGTTGGTAGTATCTTAGCTGTTACCACCATTGTAATACAAATTTTTTGAAGATGACGTGATTAGAAAATTAGAAATCACCGTTAAAATGAGGAAAATTTAATTATGCACAAGGACCGAATGTATTAATCACGGGATGGAATGAGAAAAATAACAAAAAGACGCGGCACGTCACAGTAGGAGCGCTATCAAAAATCTGCGTCGTTTCATTAAGTTACCAGAAGTGGAAAAGTGTCGCCAGAAGAAAAAAAAAAACAAGGCGGAAGAGCAAAGATTAAATTTTAAGGGCTGTTCGTCTAAATTAATTAATAAGGGAGACGGTGACGGCAAGGAAAATTTCAAAAAAATTAAATGTCAAAATTACAACAAGATTCGCCTTAATTATGTCCGCTGGGGCGGCAAGGGGACGCACTAATTACATTTTCTTAATTTGCAAAGTTCTCGACGTACAGTTGTCCGGTTTTCGTGAGCACCGCTGTGATTTGTATCGAAAAAGTTCTTTATCTGATTAAACCGTTTTAATGCGTCCATTTATTTGTCCTTATTTGTTTACTAAATGAGGAAGAATAGACCGTTAATATTAAATCACACAAAGACCTACCAGAGAATCCGTTCCTATAAAATATTATATTTTTACAACAAATAAAGTGAGGATTTTAATGATGTGTGTACATTGTTAATTAAAAATAAAATAGTGGAACTCCTACTTTATAATTTACATGTAACATGCGGAGACCTTCCCCATATTTTGTTTAATATAGACATTTTTAGGAAAAATGACTATAAAAAAAATACTTATACAACTACTATAAAATTATTGTATTTGTATTTTAGTTATATTAAAAATATTAGACATATACTTAAAAGAGAAAAGTATATTTTATATAACGTTAGTTCATTTTTAAGCCCGTAGCTAAGACAGAGACATTAAGTCCGATGACTGTTCAAATTATATCAAGTGATTACATTGTTCCTAAATCAGTTTGGATTGGAAGCGAAGCGAACGCTTCCTTAACGCTAGAAGATAGACGCAGGGTGGCATTAAAGGCGTCGCATTAACATTTTTATGTACACTTAGAGTTAAAAAAAAATCAAAAGGGTTGGCCGGACGGCACACCAGGGACTGGCTTCAACATAATTAACTTTATCGTTTGAATATCTCCTTGTCTCTCCTAATTTGCAAATGGGCCCTTTTAATAATGCCAAATTTGTTGGCTCCGTAATTTTTTCCATGATTTATTACGGTGGGACTTAGGTACGGAGCGGGTTATGTTAAGCTCCTTTCATTGTTTTGTTTTACGTTTTTTTTTTTCAATAATGATATTAATTACTTTATTGTTGTACCGTGTTACAGATTAATGGTTCTATACATATACATTAATGTACTACAATTATTTTTTGCTACTGTTATTACGCAACTTAACTTTAACATAGATGAACCAACCGCTCTCACGTTTCCCAATTTTTTTTATAAAAAGTTGTATTTTGCTTAAACATCAAAATATTTGGACAAATTTAATGAAAACGTTAAATACTTTGTCAGTTTTTGATCAATCGCCCATTTTTTTTCGTAGTGCATGAAATGTGACGCGCCGCTCGTGTTCCGCCGCATTTTTTTTACTCGCGCCCTGCACCCATTAGTGCGGGAACGGCCATCCATCAAAAGCACAATTCCAATTTACCTATCGGCCACAAATTCTTCAAAAACGACTGCGCGGGCATCCCGATCCCGATCTCGCGTAAATACAGATACAAAATAAATTGCCCCCGCCGCGCCGCCATTGTCCAGCCACGCGTTGCTATTGAATGTTAGATACTTTTTTCTTTTTTATAGTAATCTGCGCAACATTGTCATTTAATAAGAATATCTATACAGATAAAATGGTTAATTTTTGTATGGGGCTCTGGCCATTATTACTGAATATGTTTTAATTTGTCATTCTTCGTATTCAAATGGAAATAAAAATTTAGAAATAGGTGAACATAGATGAACCAGTGTAATAATTATGACAAATGAAAATTAAGTATTTGACACAGAAAACATATAAATCCTAGCATATTTTGAAAATTAAGTCTTAATACCTACTTTTAAGCAAATCTATGTTTATACAGATGTCTATAAATATGTATGTAGATCATAATGAAAACAGATAATGTATTTTCCCGCCCATCGGTTTGTAGACCAACCGCCATCTTGTGGCGTCGTTAAATGAAGCGCTAAGAAGGTAATTAGGTTATTTTATCATTAGGCAGCAATTGCCTCTTCTCATCTGCTCTAACCGTCGATTGATGAGCTGGGAACACATATAATCTGCGTCTGGCCTTATTATGTATACGCCTTGTTCCTTCTCACGATCGTTTCGCCACAATGAAACTGTTTCTATTTCTGGACAAGTAAATCCACGAAATATGAAGCTTAGTCAATTAAAATAAATAGATTTAAAACACATCTATGTATTATAACTCTAAAGCTAACATTAACTCTGAATAACAGCTATTATTTATATCACTAAAACGTTTTATTTTGTACATATTTGGATTCAGTTATAAAAAAAATGTTATTGCTATGTTATGCTATAAAACGTTCCAATTACGAAGTGTGTCTCAGGTGACTTAACCTCAGTGTATGAATCTAGAGATGACAAACAAATATTATGAAGATATAAGTAAAAGAGGTATACTTATTTGAGCCCTGATAGCTCAGAGTCCAAGCGCTCGCGTTTTAATACATTATACACCTTCTCGAACAATCTGATCAATCAATGAAACTGTTAATCTTACGTGCTTAGCGCTGAAGGAAAACATCTTAGTAAGCCTGCATATTTTTGAAATAATACTGTTATTATTTCAAAAATAATATTATTATTCTGAAATATTATACTGTAATAATAGTTTCAAGATATGTGATATCTGCCAATACAGTCTTCTCTAAACAAATAAGGCCTTTGCCATGTAGGACGTGTCTAAGCTGATACTCTACTTTACTATACATATTCTTTAAACTGTGCTTGTAAAACGGTGCTAAACATGTTCATGAAACGCTGACGAGCGGGCGGGAGGGCCGATATCGAAACATTAGCGGCGACAAATCTCGGGGGCTGTTAACCTAGCAAAGGGTGGCGATAAGGCAACTTGACAAATGACTCCCGCTCTAATGATGCTGCGAACCGTCGGGGCACGCGAAGGCGCTAGATGGGTCCGTGTCTTGAGGGACGAGTGCTCCTAGGCCAATGGACATTTGCAACCCCCGTAGGGTTGCACATACGTTTCCATCTTTTATAAAGTGGGTCCCGATTACCTCACTCACCAGACAACAGAAGCGTATCACTGCCACTTTACGCCGGTCTTTTGTGGACCTGCCAATTCGTGCAACAGAGGCTGTTGCGTAGCCACAGTTAAATAAAATAAGTACATGTAAAATTTTTCACATGATCAATAAAATATAAGTGTTTTTTTATGCGAAAAGTTGTCAAACGAGCAGACGGTTCAACTGATGTTAAATAAATACCGCAGCTCTTGGATATCTGCCACACCCGAGGGTTACAGATGCGTTGACAACCTTTTGGAAATTAGGCTCCGGCTACCTCACTCACCAGACGAAACGCAAAAGAATTTGTCATACTACCACTTTACGCTGGTCTTCTGTGAAGTCGTGGTACTGCCGTGGTACCCGGACGGGCCTGCCCATTCGTGCAACAGCCGAGGCTGCTGCTACCACCGTGGAAACTTTTTACAGCTTCTCAAAATTACTGACAACTGCCAACATTTTCTTTTTTAATGTTGTTTCGACTAATGAATTACTTTTCTTAACGGTTGACAATGAAAATCGTATCTTATTAACTTATGTACTTATAAATATATTATTGTTATATGTTTTAACGATACGATTTAATTTTTTACATACATTCATATTTCATACACAAATTCGGATTTATTAAAATAAAAAATACACCTTGTCTTAATTCTGATCACGTTCAGGTAAAACTTTATTCTTTTTCACACATGATACATATGTGATTTACTTTCATATTGACGGCTTGAGAATTTCGATGACCGATTGTACATAATTTAAACACAACGTTTTCTATCTGTAGATTAGGTGATATTTGATTGTAAAGAAAGTATTGCATAAGTAAAAGTTCAAGTTAAATATTTGAAAACTAGCTTTTCGACCGCGGCTTCGCTCGCGTTGAAGCCCTTCAATAAGTATCTTTCAAACCTTTACAACACTTTTTTCCAATTAAAATAAATTAAAATAGCCTATGACCTTTCTCAGGCTCTAGACTATCTGTGTACAAATTTCATTTAAATCGGTCCAGTAGTTTTGAAGTGAAAGCAAGACAGACAGACAGTTACTTCCGCATTTATAATATTAGTATGGATAACCAGAATTCAAAACGCGTAAAGATAATGTGACACAATAAGTGCAAGTTTATTTAACATAGGCTATACTCTAATAGCCTGCCATAGTATCATTGACATCCATCTGTCAGTTTTATGCTTAAAAACCAAAAAATCTTTTATCACGAAAACACAAAAAGAAGTTCATTATACACACACAATATAAAACTACCAATCTTCGTGAGCGTGCATTCGCCTTATCATCCGAATTAATTATACGTATAGCAAGATGGCCGACGCGCTAAGACATTTTTATTTCCTACCACTGAAAGTGCATTATCTCCATCAAGCCATTACAGACCTCTCTTGTGAAAAATAATAGATATTCACATAATTATCCCGACCCTCCTTAAAAGAGCGAAACGGCAACACCCGTCTTGGCCGGACCAAGCGAGACGGAAGACGATCCCGAGCGTCGTCTTCTAGCACTTAAGTAATTGAATACAGGGGTAAGTTGGGGTATAAAGGAGAACTGGAAAATAATAATACAAGTAATAATGTTGTTGGTTCGCGCGAAAGGGCCCAACTAGTTTAGCTGCTCCGTAAATAGAATAATAAACATACGTCTTTCCGTTACATACGAGGAAAGTCCTCTAGCGAAGTGGGGTCGCTTTTCGAAGTTGTGCCCTGAGAGAAGCGTTTATGGACTCGGAATCCTCGACGGCCTCTTCACTTAGTTCTTCCTAATTTTCTGAAGTCGTAATGTTAATTTACTCTTATGTTTCTTATGTTACGCCTATATTAGCGTAAAGTTCGTACTTGACGACGTTATTTTTTGTTACTCATTCTCTCTAAGATTTTGTTGGTCTGGAGTTTTATTTATATTATTACTTATTACTTATTGCTCTTTATTTCTATTGGGATTGCTGCTTTTATCTTGAAGTGGTTTACTTATATAAATAGTACTAACTAAAACTTTTTGATTTTACGCATTGCCCATGAGCATTTATAAATTGTAGCGCCACGCTTCAAAACGCAACTGGTTTTATTCACTGGTTGGTCTGCGAACCTCTACCTCACACGACACCAGCCGGAAGTCAAAGTATTGTATACTTCCGCGTTTCATTTGGCGAGATTTTGAATGGTTATAGAGTCCCAAATGTATTGTAAAATCCCATAGCTGGTAATCGCTCAAACATCAAATGAAACGAGTGCTTTCTCACATAAAAATATTTAAAATGATCTACCTGATGTGATGAATTCATAACTGTTGTAATGATATGGATTAAATGACATCCATATAAAATGTTCGCTAAGTTTAGTTTAGAATCGCTAGAGTTTAGTTTAGCCCGATTAAAAAGAGTTCAATCCGTTAAAGAAGTTTTTTTATAAAAAAAAACTTTTTAAAAAGACATTCTATTAGAAGTAGAACCGTAAGAATTAAAAAGGACTTCTCTACAAAATTGTTTTCGTGAATCGTACAAATTCAAAAACAAACTAAGGCCTACGTCTAATGAATAATAAAAAAATATATATTACACATCACGTTATAGGGACATAACTAATGGTGCTACAGTGATATCACTGTGTACCATGAACATAATAACTCGGGTGATAGTTAAGAGGAATATCTTCGGGGAAAATGAAATGGCCGAAGCAGAAGGCAATGCCTTATAAAAACAAATGGCGCAACAATAATGCGCCGCCGCGGGCCGAGTTCGTCGGCATTTTTTTATTGCGGATGTTTTGTGACGTCAATAACTTTCCGCTCGATACACTATTGGTGTTCTGCCGGCGCTGTATTATGTGTCGTCTTTTGTTTTGGCGATTTATCGCCATCCGATGTATGGATTAGTTGCCTACGTGACCTGGTGGTCGGTAGCGTTGCGAATTTTTGTCGCAAGGTGCAACACATAACGCTGACGTAGACGTCTCCAGTAGTTCTTCTACCCTTACCTGACATAGGCGGAGTCGGCACAAAATGAGAATTGTATGGTTAGTGGTATCGGCTAGGTTATTTACGTTTAGCCTGACTTACACCGTACACCATTCTAAAGAACACGTGAATCCGACAATACTTGTCGCGTGTGAGAATCCAACCCATGGCCCCAGGTGCCAAAGCCATCAGCTGAGGAACTGCGCCACCCAGTCATCCTCGAACCTAGACCGAGTTTAAATCGTAACAGGATCCTAGGAATAAAAATAAAATTTTTCAAAAATCAACCTATACTCACTTTACATCATTATTATTTTCGGGTTTTTTATGACAGAAAAATTAGGCACGAACGTTTAAAAAAGTAATCGGGAAAAAACGAAAAAAGTATTAATGGCTCCAAAAAAACAAATGCCAGGAGTAAAATAAAAGGTTCAGATTAATAAACTATCGTTTATTAATTTTTCACATCCAAAGAATTTCGGTCTGCTTATGAAAACTTCCAAATGTGAAATATCGGAAAGCCTAATCTTAAGTTATAGGCGAACCACAATGGCGGATTAATGGGGGTGGAATAAAAAGGATTTGGATTATTCCAATTAGGTACGAAGCGCAATTAAACCTTTGACAACGCTTCGATATAAATCACGCGACGGAGTGGTAATAAAGAGTCGTTATGCCGTAAACCGCTCGGCTTCTGAAGTATTTATGACGTTGCACGAGACGGGCCGCCCCGTGAAGGGCTAATTAATGGCATGGCAAGTTGGCGGGCGCCATCGAAATATCGTTCGAGGATCGCAACAGCCCTAATGCCTTTCTACGCGCCTCTGCTACAACACTAAACTGCGACGACCTCAAATCTGGCGATTCAATATTTCGGCGAGAATGCTAAATAATATTGTAATGTTTACTTTTTATAAATTAATACTAAATTACCTTTATTTGTTTAGAATTATACTGCATTCTAAATAGTTTACGTGACGCAATAGTTCAAAATCCAGATGCGTCCCTATTAAACCATACTAGTATTGATGTTCGGAAGGCTTTTATTTTTAAATGTTGTGTTTAAAATATGCTTTATAAACAAAACTTCCAAAAAGTTTTCTTTTAATAATAATATTTAGATGACTCCGTGGCGTAGTTGCCTAGGCCTATTGGCTTCGAGGTCGGGGGTCGTCGGTTCAATTCCCACACGGGACAACTATTTGTGTGACCCACAAATAATTGTTTCGCATCTGAGTATTTGTCCGCGTGAAATTTATGTTTGTAAAACGTCCTTACAACACAGGATAATGTTATCCTAAAGTAAGGGCAAAGTCTTAAAAATAATAATAATATTAAATATTTATGTTATATATGCAATATATATCTATATGTTTATTTTTTATTTATAAACCCAACCAGACGAGAAAACAAATGAATAACCCACCATATTAAATATAAAACTCTCTTAGAAGAGATTCTTATCCCCGAGTCAGTGGGTCGTCTGCCCGCGGACCTCTTCCGCCGAAGCTGTCAAAGCCGCCGGGCTAACAGCAAACTACACGTCACAAAAAAAAAATCTCTTAGAAGATTCGTCACTGTCTTTACAATATTAGCAATAAGACTTTAACATATCTAGTCAATCCCTTTAGCTCTCCCTTAAAGAGTTCTGATCTATCATCGTCTTCTATTTCTAAGGGGATATCTTCTATGTCAAGGGAGCTCGGTGTCCACCTGAACGTGAAAACAGCTCCCCATAGGCATTTACTACGTAGGGTTACAAAGGCGTTACCTTATATTGTAAGCGTGGGCCGAAACGCAGAAGTAAGAAAGCACTTCCACTTCTTGCCGGTCTTCTGCAAGACGTGCTACTTCCCTGAGCGGACGCGCCCATTTGTGCAACAGCGAAGACTGCTGCGTGGCCCTACCACAGTCTGCCACCCGTCACTTAAGCCACACTGCAAACTTTAATAAAGCTGCATTACATGACGCTGCTAACAGGTTGGGTCGCACCCGCTCGAGGCGACCGCAACAGCCTCGCAAACGCCTTCCAATAACAATTACGGCCATCACCAAAACTGTTCACAATCGCTTGCTCATAACCATAAAGAGGGATTGTTGTAATTTTATTAGGCTGTAACTTGCCTTACGAGTTGCTCGACTTCATTCGATGAAGACTATTAAGTTTAGAGTGCATGTAACTCGCTATTATGATCATGACTGGTTAGGCAGACATAGCTTGAGATAGTAGCATTATATTCGGTGTAAGTTAAAGACAGTAAAGAACCGAAATACGGGTTTGTACAAGCCATTAGAAACCGTGCTTTTTATCGCGTAGACGTTTTCAGCCATTACCATGCTATTGCAAAATAATTATTGCATTATTTTCATCTAGCAATAATAGTAACATTAGGTGATCAGAGTTTTAGTGAAAATTTATTTTTTTAAATTCATATGAACGTCATGGCCCTTTACAAAAACTGTATACTTCTACAACGTCGAGATTATTAACAGATATTTTTATATTTTGTTAACCTATGATACGCGTCAATTCAATACAAGATTGACATAAATATTACCATCATACACACTGCATTTATTTAAATGTTACACTTATTACAAATTTCAATGATTTGGTTAGTCAGTTGTCCATGAACTCCTAGTGATCAAAACGATCGGAAGCAAACGAGCCTCCTTAACGGCGTGTACTCTTAACGCAAATCGACGTCGCCTCCTGAAGGACCTCTAATCATGAAAATGTATTTATGACCTAATTAAACTCCTGTCTACCCTCCGAGAGAGCGGGACAGCATTAAAAGGACGCTGCAAAACGGAGCGAGACGGCAGATGACCCGGGCCGGTGATTAACGAGCGTTATATGGCTGGTTAACTACCGTGTAATTTGCAAAACGACCCTTAATTACCTTCGAACACGGCTACCATCTCCATCCTTATCCTGCGGCGGGGAAGCGAGTGCGGCGGAGAGGGACAAACAGAAGTGGGTGGGTGGCGCTTTAAAGGCGGCATTTAATGAGGCGTTATTATGTCCGCCGTGCAGATTAGGTTCACATGGCGCCGAAAATTGTTTGCCCGCTCTTTATATTTGGTTTTGCGCGAGACAAACAGATGTGAACGCCGCCGCCTTTGTTTATCCCAGCACCTCTATTTGAATACAGATACCATATTACCTCGCGAACGTTCCGGTATTACAAACAACGCAGACGTTACAGTGAGACTGGAGACAATTATTCATGAAACGAAATTAAGACCAAAAATTTTCAAGCTCTGTACATTGTAAAATATGTTTATAACATTCAAAATCAATTAAACGGTAATTTCACATCATCGATATCGCAATCAAAAAATAGTTAGTACATAAAACGATAAGAAGGTAAAAGTTCTACTTGTTGTAAAGCAAATCTATAAGGCCAGTGTGGTCTTTCCTTCCTTTTGTCCCTTTCTAGAAAAGGCTACGCATTTTCTGGAAAAGGACTTCTAACACGAAGGTTCGAATAAGGCTCTACCCTGTGGCAAGCAACAACAGACAATAATAACGAGATACAATTTCAAATATTTTGTAAAAGCCATCTTAACCGAAAGGCCCTATAGCTTGTAAGTTCCCTGCCTGCTGCTAATTTTGAACTTAAACACTTTTGTGACCGCAGAGTTTCTTGCCGATCTCCTATGGACAGGTCTATTTTAGTCAATCGGTGGTAGTTCTTGACGTTCAATAAGAGCTTAAAATAAGCCTGCATTGAATAAAGAAATTTTGACTCTGTCCTTGACTTTGAAATCTCTAAAACAGCCGTCCCTCCGCAGGTATGGTTCCAGAACAGGCGGACCAAGTGGCGGAAAAAGCACGCCGCGGAGATGGCGACCGCCAAGCGCAAACAGGAGGAGCTCGGCGAGGAGTGTGACGAGCAGGAGCAGCACGAGGAGCCGTGCAGCGACGACGACGACGCGAAGAGGCCGCGGCTCGACCACCTCCACCTGCACCACATACCGCACCGCCAGTGATCGCGAGCGCCCCACGAGGGCACCCGACAGACTGTGACGTGTGACTATGACGTGGGACAGTGCGAACGGTACGAGGGCTGCGGCCGCGCGGGGAGCCCCCGACTGGAGGGCCCCTGCGATCTGTCCAATTGGCAGGTCAGGGGTGTCGGCGCGGAGCGGGACATCGCCAACGCCGGCGGCTCCATGGACGAGCACAACTTCAGCGGCGACAACCCTGACGACGGCCAGCCAATCAACTTCGCGTATTACCACTTCTGAAAGTCAACACTTCGCGTATTACTTCGTTGTGCATTTCGATATTGTCACGTTGGACCTGCTTCGAAGCGTGGATCGTAATGGAAGTCAGTTCTAAAGTTCAGGCAAAGACACAACAGTGATAAGGCCTAGCAAGCGGCAGATATACGAATGCAGTTGATTTTAATAACGCATAATATTTATGAAAAATGTCAGTACCCTTAATCGATTCATAAAATGCTGTGTAATATAAATTAGTAATTATATTTAGCGTCTGTAAATATAAGCGTAAGTAGTCATGCCATACGACGTAAGTAAATTATTGTAACTAGTTTTTACATACCAATATATAATAGAATTAAGTTTAAAACTGTACATTTGAACGGAAAATATTCCCGGTGCCAACTTCCTAAAATTGTAGCTATGTTACAGGTATTCTGTTTTGTAAAACCTAAACTAATATATAGGACTAATAATTCTTCAGCTGATGACGCGTGGATTAAAGTCTCGATTTCAATATTACACTAGCAATTAAATTGTAAATAATATGATAGCGCAAAAGTATTTGTTAATGCATACCGCGATTTAATGTATATTATACGAGTTAAGGAATATAATTGTAAATAGATATTTAAACGAATTTAATAAATACTTTATTGTAACTACTTGTAGTGATCACTGTGCAAAAGATTATAATTTTTTTTATTTGTGTTTTCTTTATGATCGTATATGTATCGAAAATTGATTCCTGACTTGTTAATTGTTTCTCATTTAATGTCTGTAACATTATCATGTTTCATAATCAAACATAATAAAAAACAGCATTGTAAAACATATTTCTTTTTGTGAATTAAAACAAACAATCTGATATGTTATTTAGCTTAATTAATAACTTATATTTATAAAGAATTTTCAACCGATTGATCGATTCAAATTACTTCGAAAAACTGATTTTAATTTCAAAGTTATAAAAAATGTCTCAAATTTTTTACAAAAGTTTCGCAAACGTTTGAAATTATAAATATAAATATTCATTGTGTTATGTACTAAATATTTATAGCTTTTTATTCGATTCACTGATTCAAAACGACTTGTTAGTATTTACTCTGATGTACCGCGTGAGTGATCTACAAATGTGGTTCAAATAAACGGTTAGTTAAAACATTTTTCGTGTTATTTACCACCTTAATACCGCTCTACTTTCAATATAAAGGAAATAATTTTTATTCTAATGATGTAGAAATCACGGAAGGATTGGATAAATGATTAAGAAATGTATAAAATTGACATTTTGTTTATTTTTGATTCAGATAAGAAAATAAATAATAACTAAACGAAAAACAGGCCACACATGAAAAACGCAATTTAGATTTCGTCAAAACTAAACGTTTAAAGTCAATATGTATTACTCTGATATTTAAATTATAAATATTACCTATTTTTCTCTGAACTGAAATATTATTAAGATACACAAAGCTAGCCTATGCATTTCTTGACTCTGGGAGCTTAATTATCAAAAAGTGACAGGGTTTGAACACACAATTAAAGTAAAAATAAAAACTCAGATCGAAAGTCTTTCCCGCTAACGCTCCAGTGTTCTATCCCAAAAGAAACGAAGTAAATTGGACATCACAATACCATTTAACCAATAGTTAAATGAAAATGTCATCATTTTAATGTGATATACACAGTCTTAAGGCTTTACTCTTTATACTTTCACAAACTGAAAGTGAATTGGTAAGTTATCTAACGCCACGCATATGCACAATGAGGATTTTCCAATTAAGATATATTTTAATACATTATAAACATACGTATGATAATTGTTTTGTTGCTTTCATGAGGATTTGAATGTTGAACGGATATCAAAGCTATATATGAATGTATAAAAAGTTTGTACAGTAACCTATGTGTAGCGCTATCTTAGCACTTTTAGCTTTTCTTACAAGTATAACATTTCGAATTCTACGTGAAACTTTATCCAAGTGCCTCACAACGATTGTGTCATAAGCATGACGTTCTACATTGTAAGCGATCGCAGCCTCCGGGCAATCGAAGCCGCCAGGGCAAGAATCGCGACGCACCCCGTTTCCAGGGCAACCATCCACCTCCGCCGACTGCAAAGCAAATCTAAGCTCAAACCGAACTCCATAAAGTTCAATTTTAAACGAGCGATCGTTCCGGAGTTTTCCTTGTAGTTATAAATGTAAAACAACGTTTACCGCTCGTGTTGAGGCCGAGGGTGCTGGGGGTGGTTCGGGGGGGACCCTCGGGGAGGATGAGGAGCGGGGTGGCATTCTTTCATTTGTTGTGGCTCGGGTCGGAAGCGATAAGGTGCGGCGTCTAGGTGCCTTTTATTTATGACTCCATTTTAAACTGGGGGGCGAGGTGTTACGCAATTCGGCCGAGTGTGATTCCTTGGTATCGGGCCACTCCCGGGGGCTTCGGAAGGCGGTCGAATATGTGCCGGCTGATTTATGCCCGGGACGCTCTCTGTGTGTGACATTGGCGGAAATGGGCGCGAAGTGGGAGGCTTATGTGCTCGGCGTGAAAAACACTAATGGCGTTTACATTTAGAACATCGCGTTATCGTTATATAAAATAGTCAAGAAAGTAAGTTATATAAAATAGTAAAGAAGTAGTCCGCAAAAATTGTGATGGCTCGGCTAATTTGCATGATATGAATATAATTCATTTCACATTACGTTTGAAAATATCATATAGCCTATGTTACTCGCTAAAGATGTAGTTTTTTAATGATGAAAGAATATTTAAAATCGGTCAAGTAGTTTTTGAGTCAAATCGTAACAAAAGGACAAACAAAAAAATCAAATCTTTCTTCTAAACATTATTAATATTATATAAAATATCTATATATAGGCGTTATAATATAATAAAATATCTATATATTCACACAATATAATTTCGTCATACTCAGACGTTGGTCCATAGCTAGGGCACAACGCCATCTATTGGAGAGTGTGGTGCAAGCGTAGAGACAATGTATTTTACCTTTGGAATATAGTCAGGGGCAAGCTTTTATATTTTCATACGTAGTAAATAGTCCAGCAAACCGTTAGTATTTGCGTGGTCTGTGATCGATTAGGCTTGCATAGCCCCTAGAACTGAAAAGACCATCCGGTAAACAAATATGGCTTTAACCGGCTCATATTTTTCTGTTCTAAAGGATGATGACCACTTTTGTATGGGGTATTCCTTAGCCATGTAAAAAAAACTTGTCATTTACCGTGGAACTAAGAGCCTAGATCTAGAACTTTTTAAATTTTATTACGTTTAATATTGCTGACTTTTGTTTATTTCGCTAGAAAAATAATGTTTTCGTTCCAAATGTTTCATGTCAATATGCGTCTGACATAATTTGAAAACGTGAAAATAATGCTTATTTATTATTTCAGACATATACATAAACTCAGTTACAAATAAATACGACATACATAGAGTAGTTTTTAAGAAAAAAAATGACAAAAAGAGTGTCTTTCGCCTGTATCCTCTCATAGAGGAACCTAATTAGGAAGTGGTGGTAGATTTAAAAAGGACTGTCTATAGATGAAAATGTATGTTTCCTAAGATGAATAAATTATTTGATACATACTGGTAGCGAGCCGTGATAGCTCAGTTGTCCGGGCGCTCGCCTTTATTTCAATATACTCGAGCAACCTGAGTTCGATCCCCGGTGCCGGCACCAATGAAGTTTTTAACTTTAAGTGCTGACTTATCACGTGCTCCGCGGTGAAGGAAAACATCGTGAGGAAACCTGCATATTTTCGAAATAATAACAAAAAAAAATATTTTTCGAAGATATGTGACGACCGCCAATCCGCAGTGGGGCCGCGTGGCCCTGATACCCTCTGTACAGAGGAGGCCTTTGCCCAGCAGTGGGACATGTATAGGCTGTTACTTTACTTTACTTTTTACTTGTAGCTTAAATTTATTCAAATAAAATATTTGTTATCTTTGTATTTGACCAACTGATTAGCCTAGTGGGTACTGACCATGCCTCTTGCGCTAAAGGGTGTAGTTTGGGTTCGATCCCCATTACTGGTAAAATTTGTTGTGATGAACATAGTGTTTTTTCAGTGTCTGGATGCTTATCTTCTTTATATATATAATTCTTCTGTACGTGTGTATGTCACTGAACTCCTAAATGAAATTTAATGGTGTTTCTATTCATTTTTTTTAATTATCGGATTTAAGTCGTGTACAGGACAACGTCTGTCCGGTCCGGTATATATATATAGTGTTTATGTAGGTATTGAAATATTTATGTATTTAATAGTTTATAGTATGCATGTTTGCATTTAGTATATTTATGAAATATGTACCTTTTTTGTTATTTTCTCTTTTCAAAATTGAATTTTGAATTTTGTTTCGCGCTTACGTCAAATTTTCACTACTCCCAGGGTTGGCTGGAAGAGAATTAGCATTAACTTTGCCTTTTGTTTGGCCTTATTTAGAGGTGAAAACAATAAATTTTTAAATAAATAAATAAATAAAAGCGTTGCTTTTCTTGCGACTGGAAAACGTTGTTTAAAAATGTGTCGTGAAATAATTATATTTGTCTATTTAATAAGCATGCATATATATTTCATTCCAAACCATAACCGGCAACCAAGCTTCAATTAATAAGTGCCCCGTACAAGCTCTGGTAGAAGCAGAGGAAGTGGTCAAGGCAATGGACGCAATACGTGCGCTGAACAGACTACAGTCTGCAACAACGGTGCCCAAAGAGGTATATTCTAGAACATAATGTGCATCATCAGCACAGCCGCTACAAGTCCGCTGTTGAAAATAGGCGCCATAGAACGCCACAACGAACGACACTACCATTTGCATCCACCGGTTGCCCGCGACTCTTACGAAGATAATGTTAAATCGTTTCATTTAAAACTCGAACTTAAAGCACCGCACTGATGAGGTTTCATTTAGATATATCAGCATCTAAACCTGCTACATAGTTTTTCATTTATTACTAACAGGCGTTAGTAACGCTTCCCAAAGTTATATAAGGGATTTAATGAGAAACCCGTTTATCGACGGGAAAGGGTCTAATTGTCCGATAGTTGTATCTTTATTATAATATTATCGTTTTATTTAAATAAACTTCCACATTTCGAAAGCATTGGTGATGTAATGTTTGTGAAATGATAACTTTTTTGACATCATCGGAATTGCATCATATAAATTATTATTTATTCAATAATGAAAACATGAAAATCGGATTAATTGGTCTCGATATATAATCGATCTAATCTAGACGTTATGTTTTATAACATGTTCAGATCAAAAGTTTACGTAGATCAGATTTAGAACCAAAGGTAGATTCAGGACGGTGCACGGCTGCTAGGCTAGCTACGTCTGGAAACGAGTATTAGAAATAAGCGTAACCACATCCCAACAACACAGTGATTCACATTTGAGTAGATTTACAACGTAAGTGCTTCGGCCACCGCGTTAGTCAATCGCGTGATTTATGCTTGGCCCGCGTCGCCCACAGATCGGCCCTCTAATTAATTTCATATACTTTATAGCCGTAGACCTACTATTCAACACGTGCTCAGAAATACATAGTGTGGATACTTGCTTACCTCGGGATTATTTAGAAAAGTCTGAGTGTCACAGGCTTCCTCATTTTGATAGGTTATTAATCTTTTTACAAATTTATATATTTAAACATGATGTCTACTCATTGGTGAACGTCAGTGTGATTCAAAATCGTTACCGTATATTTCAAATACGACGAAGCGGAAACAATCAATTAAAGAATAAAAAATTTGAAGAAAAGTACGAAAAGTTTGTCACCGCTGTGGGAATCGAACCCACGTATTCGGGTTCGCGCCCTGACGCTTTAGTATCTACTAATCTAAACGGTTGATTCCCACTCCGACGAAAATCTTTACGTACTTTATCTACATTGTTTTTTTTTAGCATATCATCATGTCAGCGTAAATCAGCCTGTTTGACTAAACTCCTAAACATAGAACAGGGGGAGCCGACAGACTGCCACAAAGCACGATCCTGAGCCACCTGAATGCCTGCCATAGAATTTCCGCACATTTGCACAGGTCGTCACTCCATTTGGTGGGTAGTCCTACACTTATCTTGGGAGCCTGCCACTCAAAAAACTTTCTTCCCCATCGGTTATCGGTTCTATGAGCTATATGCCCGGCCCATCACCACTTCAGCTTACTTAACTGAGCTATGTCGGTTATCTTTGTTCTACTGAGGATGCCTGCGTTGCGAACTCTATCACACAGAGAAATGCCGAGCAGTAACAAATTGCTCGTACTAACTGGTTGGTACCCGAGCAATCTGAGTTCAAATACCCATACTACAGGAACTATTGGAATGATTGTTGATTAAAAATTCTAAAAAGTACTGATCAAGTCACGGTTAATGAAAGAAAACATGGCTCGAAAACTGTGGTTCAGAGAAGGGACGAAAAGAAACATTCTAAAAACCGCCAGTTTACGACTGGGATGGCAATGGCCTGCTCGTTAAACAATCTAAAAGCTGTTAGCCTACAGTCAAATCACACCTATCTAAAACACACGAGCACGTGCGTGGCCCTACCAACTGTGAAGGGCCTCAAACCCGTGGGTTCTGGCTAGCCCACTGGTTCAGCGTTCGATAAAGCTTTAAAAGTCTCTGAACTGAAAGCGTTAACATCAGTTAATACAGTATACACTATAATAGTCAAAATCCAGTCAGTATCTGAACTAAGAACTAATGCAAACAAACGAAAGGTAAATCCAAAAACCTTTTCGGAACTTTGCAGGTGGCAACCCTAGCGTAATCCAAACCATCATCCAATTCCACAAAGCTCTCTCGTTTTAATTCGAACAACATCAATCGGCTCCACGTCTTGCAGGTTTATGTGGGGCCTAACATTCAGGCCGAGTCAGCCGCGCACCTAGGCGGATTAGTTGAGAGCGATCGGGGATCGATTCGAGCATTTAACTTTATTGTACGACACTAAACAAGGCCAGTAAAACACGTCAATAATAAAGCGTTTTAGTGCCGGTGACGTACTATAAATTAAGACGTCCAACGTCTGAAACAATAGCCCTCGTAAACACAAATCACGCCCGGGTGAGATGCTTTGATTAAATGTACATACGAACTTTCGATTTTATTATGTTATTAATTTTAGACAAACGATCTTTCGATGCACATCATTAAAAACGTTCAGGCTTATGTTACTGTTGTTTGATATTAAAGTCACTATGGCTGTATAGTTGTAATAGCTTTTATTTTAATTTTATATAACCACCACGCA